TGAATACGCTGACTTTTGATTTAGCGGTATAGGACCGTATTATACAGTAAGTGTTCAATTTTGAGTTATTATGAATACGCTGACTTTTGATTTAGCGGTATAGGACCGTATTATACAGTAAGTGTTCAATTTTGAGTTATTATGAATACGCTGACTTTTGATTTAGCGGTATAAGACTCTTGTTTTTTTACGTGTTAAAGAGTAGTGAAGACGCTCATAAACGTTTGAACAATGTTGACAGTCATTGTGAACACGTGATGTAAAATAAATTTTCGTTGACTGGCTTATCTGACTGTTTTGTTTTGCTTAAAGCGCCTTAAAGTCCGGTGCGCCTTGTATGTGGAAAAAGTTTGAAAAAAGACCACTGATTGACGGTGCGCCTTATAATGCAGTGCGCGTTATAGTGCGGAAAATACGGTATTCGATTCCATTTGCCTTTTTTTATCAGCTATATGCCTTGTTGGGTAGCATAAGAGTGATGAGGCTATATGTAACCCGACTGCGATGTGTGACGTGTCTTTGAGGTGTTGTTAATGTTTTAGACGAGTCGTCGGTGCAGAAATAACAGTGTGTTGTTCGTATTTGGCCTTCAGCTAGGTATCTTGTACAGGAGTGACAGCATAGAGAACAAGCCACACTGTGAGGAATTTTCTGGAAAAGTGCCTGCTGGAGCAGAGATGGTGGCTTCCACTCCTGCCTTCCCCATCCCTCCGCCAACGCCCTATGGTAAGGGGGGGGGGGGCAGTCTGGAACCTGGAAGCCTGGAAGCCAGTCCAATGGCCTCCTATGCTTAGGGAACTCCTAATGAAATAGCGCCCTCTTCCTCTGTGTGTTAGTACTTTGCATGCCTTTTGCCCATCTTTGTTGGCTCATTGTTGCAATGATTCATTGCATTTCACCTCTGTGCCCGACTTGTTGCACGGGATTCTGGGAAAACGGCTGACACGAGATCTCCGTTCCTCCTCTTCGCAGTGAAAGACGTGTTCGAGTTTTCCCACGCACCTGCCGGATGCCGGCCCGGCGCCTCTCTTGGGATGCAGAGGACAGAGCGCGGTAGGTCTTCGCTTCCTGGGCACACCGTGGTTGCGCTGTTCATCAAGGTGGCTCCTTTGTCAGTCTGTCACAGCATACGTGAGCTCCCCCTAGTGGTTAAGGTGCAGGATAGCTTTGTGTGGGTGCGCACATGTGTACGTTGGTCTGTGTGTGGGCACTTGTGTGAGCACGCCTAGAATAAGAAACACTGTTGACTGATGCATGGTTATTTAATACCTTGACTAATGCGGTAAATCCCCTAATGCTTTGGGATTCCTTTAAGATGACATACAGTCAGTCACCCCCTAGAAGGTGGATGGATTTCATGGGTGTCGCAACCCAAAATTGATGCAGCTCATACAACACATGTACAAGTGTTGCAATCTTTCTTTAGGTAAATTGCCTTAGGTTGCAGGTTTATAATTGCCCGATTCATTTAGCTAGTGGTTGCGACCAGGAGAACTAGTTCAGCAGATGACCTTGTAGGTCTGCCTTTCAACACTCCAAATGCCTTGCGAAACTCGAATTGTTCAGCGTGTTTCTAAAGTCTTTTAATGGGGACATTGAAGGGTGGCTTTGGCAACCCGCCTCAGGGATTCCCCAAGGCGGAAAACTGTCTGAAGCTACGAAGAAACAAAAACAAACAAAAATCCGGAGTCGTAGAAACTGATATTTGCTTCACATATTTTCTTTTGTTTTGCAATAAGCATAAAAAAGGGATAATAGTCACTGTCATTAATGAGCTAAGGATCCTCTCTCTGGTGCCAGAGATCGTCTCAATGGGGAACAGACCCGTATACTTTCCAGAAGATTCCTTCACAATCTGCTGCATTTTGACTTGTAACACTGTGGGAGTAACGCTTACTAAAGCCTGTATAGTGATAGATTATGGTATTTGACAAAAAATAAAATTTTATATATATATATTATATATATATATATATATGTGTGTGTGTGTGTGTGTGTGTGTGTGAGTGGTCCAGATATACCTTACCCTGGTCCCCATATGGGAAATCTCTATTTCATAAGAATCTGTGACTGCAATGGAAAAACTGAAAATGCAAAAACTCTTGTATTTTGTTTGGTTAATAATAATAATAATAATAATAATAATAATAATAATAATGATAATAATTATTATTGTTATTATTATTTCCCCATGGGGAAATTGTCTTTACGCCTCCCTCAACTTGTTCTTTGCAGAGTAAGTTGTCTATGAAGGGCAGTCACCCGTAGCGGTGCCCAGGGAGTTGGGGGTTAAGGGCCTTGATCAAGGACCCGCAGACATGCTGAGGCGGGGTTTGAACCGGCGACCTTCGGTTGTCATAGTTAGCATTAGCATTTTTCCCATAGAAATGAATGAGCGGTCCGCAAAAAGATATGATTACACGACTGTGTGTGTGTGCGTGTGTGTGTGTGTGTGTGTCTGTGTTTTATCTTAATAAACTTAGTAGACAGCTGGAGTCTCAAATGTCTTGTGTATCTGGTATGATTAGACCATCCAAGAAATCGAGACAATCACAAAACAAGTGATGTTCTGAGGATGATCTCAGCCCTGTAGATGAAATCCTTAACTGCAGGACACTTTGATGTGCTATTTCAAAAATGCAGTAGTTGACATTCTCCCAAAGTGATAATGGAGTGCAGATAAGCCTGCATGCCTGGCCAGGGGTCAGAGGTCATCCTCGACATTCTACAGTGTCCTTTGAGGGAACAGATTGTGGAGACAGAGGAACAATGGCCACTGGTCTCTGAATGGAGGGAGGGCAGCTGAACGTCAGTCGGGAACGGGGTCCCCTCTGACCGAGTTGTCCAAACGGAATGACAAAGCCGGAAACAATTGGGAAACTGTTTTCCATCTGGAGATAAAGTGCATGAAGTGATCTTGTTGCGTTTATGACATCATTCACCCGCTCCTGTCATGTCTGGCTCTGTTTGGCCAGGGCAGCGAGAGAGGTGGGGAGGGGAAGAATGGGGGGGGGTGTAAACAGGGGATAGATAAGGTCCCGGGAGAAGGGCTGTCCCCCTTAGAGCTCAGAGCAGTCTGTAACGGGGAGGTTGTGAGGTCCAGGTTCCCGCTGGACACATCCGAGATTTCCTCCGCAGGACCTGTTCTCCTTCATGACGACTTCTCTCGGTACGTAGACCAGCACGTCTCCTCCGCAGGTCCTCCCAGTCTCTGCCGGCACCTGCAAGAAGGGGGCAAGACAAGAGGAGAATGATAGAAATGGCGTGACAGACTCTTCGGAGAAGTAAACACCTATGGTTGCAGTTTACCATTTGCCGCGTTCTTTTTCATGCTGTTTGTTCTGTCGGAATGAACATTTTTGGGATGAAACCATCACTGGGTTGGGATGGGCGGGTTTTTCTGCTGGATTCTTTGCGCGGTTTCATTGGAATGGTCATACTGACTGGTTGCTTTTTCTAGGATTTTTAATCTAAAAAAAACGAGGCCTTTATGGTAAACATCTGCATAATTACGGAGTGGTCTCGTCATCCACGAGACAGTTATATTTCTCCATTATTGTTGCGTGTTTACTTGGGATTCTCTTCTTTTCAATGGCTTCAAATTAGCTCGTCTTTATGTCGCTTCAGCGCAAATTACTGATTGCTGGAAGAATTTATAAGTCAGTGGAGTTTTTTTTCCTCCCACATATTATTAAAGTCACAGATGCCATCATTTGAGTGATGGATCTTGTTTACGTGCATATATTTAAATGGAATGATTGTCTCGTCAGGTTACTAATTTGTGTCGCTGCGCAGATGAGAAATTGACTGCACTGCGATGAATTGCGAGGCAGGGAAAGTGTCACGAAGCTGAAAAAAAAATCCCAACTAGCAAAAGCAGAGTGTGTGTCCTTTCTCCAGAGATTAACTAGTAAAACTCCACAGCATTGTAAATGGCATTTACATAACTGCAAGGACCAGAAACTATCTAGCCATCCAATGGAAAAATACCCTGCATATGTACAGTGATCATTTCAGGCCACTAAACCCACTCTTTCTCTGATGGACGCACTTCATTTCCCTGATTGAGAAGCAGAACTATAAATGTATGTCAGAAACGTGATTATTAGTGTGGCTAATTTTAGTGTTTCGTACCCTTGGGGTAGCATTTTCTTTGTATTCATGCATCTTTCTTTGGCTGCCATTTTCTGGTTTTAAGCTTCTCATGGCGGATTAGGTGCAGAATAGAGCTTCCCTTTCTCCTGAGAGTGGCATGGCGCTACATTTTAAGCATTTTTCCACAAGCAGGCCCTGCCGCAGAGGCCATCTTTGAGGTAATCCATGACCTCGCTCCATCCTGCCTCCTTGGGAGGCTCATTAGAGCCTGGCTGGTTTGGGATGGCCAGCTGGTCCCCGCGAGGCGGCAGCCATCTGGAATGCGTTTCTGCACTATATTTTGGGAGCACTGAAGGTGATTTGGAATCACTTGTGTTTCTATGGAAACATAACAAAGGCTGGAGATGGGGGGGGGGGCAGCCTCCATGGAGGGGAGCTTGATGTGTAGATGGTGAACTCAGAATTCCCTCTGGCACCCCTAGGGGTGTGGGGAGGAAGTGAGGTCATATGAAAGCTGGAAGTCTTGTCTGTTAAAAATAGCAGTCGTGAAAATCAGTTTTTATTCTGATGATTCTGTCTGTGGCTTGTGGCTTGGCTTGTCCTGTCCTTTCTCTCACCTTCCTCCATGTGGGTTGTGTGATGGCGAAAGAGAGTGGAGTGGGGGGGGAGTGCACGTTTTCTGACCCACAGATGGTGACAAAGGCCCCCAGGCAGCGTGTTTTAGGCCAGGGGGGAGTGTTTCACCTGAGGAATGCTGCCAGTGTGTGAGGCAATGTGCTTTAAGGTCCTCCGCAAGTGTGTTGGGGAGTCTAATCAGGGGGCCTCCCCAGCCCAATGTCAATGACCACCCCCACCTTCCTGACCCACCCGAACATGCTCAGATCCCTGGCTGTCCACCCCCACCTCAAGAACACATTGGCCAGCCTTGTTGAGACTATGGGTGCAGAACAATTATCTGGAAATCAAAGCCACTGGAACACAGACCCCCCCAACCCCACCCCTTAGATTACGATTCCACCTTCGAGGTCTCAATGCTGAGGTTCAAGCTGAAGAGACACATCCAGCTGCTTGGAGATCGACATCATATCATTGTCCATGTGAGCTTATTTTTCATGGGAGAGTCTCCAAAGATTCAACAAACGTGTACTTGCACACCCTCTTGCACCAGCCAGGGAAGTCCTTGGATCCTCAAAGAATCAGCGATAGCCTGTTTTCCATGGTCCCCATTGATTCCCTATTCACTCATTCCCTACATTACCTTCCCTATATAGTGCACATTATAGGCAGCTAAGGAGCTAATTTGAAATACAGCTGTACACTTCTGCGCTCCCCAGTTGTGATACCCGCCAATCCGAACATTCATTCAGCAGTACAGGGAGAAGCTAAGGTGATTTTTTTTTTTTCACTTTTGGCCGGTGAACTTAGAAAAATGGAACTTACCAGCCGAAATGGAAAGTCTGACTTGAATTGATTTTCAAGTAAGGAGCTGCGCTGTGCACAGCGGAGTTGGTACCAGCAATGAACACCTCTAAGACAAGCTGGAGTCAGGCTTTCCAGTGGGGGGGGGGAACCCAAGGAACTGGTTTTGCCATCATTTTATAGCAGATGTAGTGGTTTATGACTGATTGGTTCTGTTGTGTGTTTACCTGAAGAGTCCAGGGGATACCCTGAGAGCCTGGGTCACTCAGCGGTGTCGCTCGATGGGGAGGGCTTCCCCGTGGCTTTCCCGGCGCCCCCCAACCCTGCTGCATACCAGCGGCCATTCGCGTCCATGCGTGCGGCATCTGTCGACGGTCTCGTTTCCAGGACGGAGAGGTACTGCCCGTCATTAAGTACTAAATCTAATTAATGCAGGATTGCACCTCAAAGGGGTCCAGTCCCATTCTGTACATATATACATAGTTGGGGGGACAGTGTGTGGCTCAGCCGGTTACAACACAGTGCCTGCGATTGGAAGGTCACTAGTTCAAGTCCCAGGGTCAGCATAGTGATTTCACCAGTGGGGCCTTGAGCAAATCCCTAACCCCCAGTGACACCGGCCCACCCAAGTATGTATGTCACTTTGTATGAAGGTATATGCTGAATAAATTAAATGTGAAAATGAACGTCATACTATGCTGATGAATTATTATAATTTCTATAAGGAGTCCATGCACAAGCTTCATATCATCCATGTTCTCCTCCATAGTGGACGTCTTGTGAAGTGGTACTGTTACAAACTGTTAGAAAATATTTGAGGGTTTTCCTAAAGTGCACATTGTGTTATTTCTGTCAAAGTACTTCTTAAAATATTGTTGCAAATATTTCAGGTAAAGCTGTTGATTTGATGAAGCTGATTTGCAGATACTATGATGGACCAGGGCGGTCATGGAGCATTAAGTTTACTGCATTGTATGTTCTAGCCTGAATTCTAAGCCCCGACTGAGGCAGCAGTGCTCTCTCGGTGGGTCTGGACCTGGATTCACCTCCCAGTACCCTGGATCCTTGGAGTACAACCCGCAGACCCAATATGGCCCCACTCACACGAACGACGGCACCCCCTCCTACCACAGCCGGTACCCTCCGAGCTGCAGTTCTGGCCAGAGCTTTGAAGAGCATGACAGTTCCAGTCCCGGCAGGGGGGATCTGGGTGTGAACGGGGTTCCGGAGCAGCCGCCCCTCCCGGAGAAGAGGAGGGTCTCCCAGGGAGAACATGGCTTGGGGTTTGGGTCTCACGTCCCAAGCAACCACAGTGGGAGCCCCACCAACATCCCCTGCGGAAGCCCCCTACCAGACCCCTTGGCGCGAGCTGCGAGTGCACCCCCGTCGGTACATGGTACGCCCCTACATCCCCACTCCGGCTTTGCTTATTCCAAACAAAGCCAGACTCACAAAAGCCTCAATGCAACATAAGCCTGTAGCTCTCTTCTGTCCCTAGAGTAGGTTTCCACCTTTGACAAATCCCGATACACTTACAAGACCCCTGTGGCCCCCTCCTCTCTATGCACCTGATCAATATGCATCACCCGGATTTTAATGGGTGCCTATCGTTTGTGCATTTTGTGCCTTCTAAGATGTGTTCGCTGGCAAGCAGGAGACCGTGAAGTTCGTGCAGGACACATCTAAATTTTGGTACAAGCCAGACATCTCAAGAGATCAAGGTTAGTGTTTTTTTGACATCAAAAATCTCAACCTGTGTGTAATTTGTATAGCATCTGTACACATTCATATAGCATGTAAAATGTACTCTTGTATTTCTGCATGTTAAAACTTCTGATGTCGTATGTCACGCCAGGAAGAGAACCACGCTGCACTGTCACACTCAGTCTTTTGTGTTTCCAAACTCTTGCAGCCATCGCGGTGTTGAAGGACAAAGAGCCTGGATCCTTCATAGTTCGGGACAGCCACTCATTCCGGGGTGCCTACGGACTGGCCATGAAGGTGGCCACACCCCCTCCCTCTGTGCTGCAGCAGAGCAAGAGAGGTGGGCTCTTCCCCTCAGTTGATAGGATAAACAGCGCCCTCTGTCAGACTTGCAGGGAAGTGCAGATGCTATTTGTTAACTCGGGAGAACTAACATAGAAGCTATAATACACATAACACCCCCTTGGCTGTAGGGCCGGTAAACCCCAGGTATCTCCTCAAGAGTGGAGTTTGACTTGTCATGCCTGTGAAAGGGGAGAGGAATCCATCACAGCTGGGTGCCATCTTTCCAGCGTATTGCGTAGATAGAATTGGTGTTAAATGTGTGCGGATCTGCCGTTTGTCAGATGTGATCAATGTGGAAAAGCATAGTCAGTCTTTATTATTATATAATCGGTTTAGATGCTGGTGCTTCCTTTATATTTACTTATAGCTTCTCAGTATCTTAATAATTTGTACTCTGGCAAAAGCAGAGATTAAATGCAGGTCCCTCATGTCTGTGCTGTCTGCGTTTTGCAGGGGGTGACCTGTCTAATGAGCTGGTCCGGCACTTTCTCATCGAGCGCACGCAGAAGGGTGTACGGCTCAAAGGGTGTCCCAAAGAGCCGAACTTTGGTAAATCACCTCTCCCCAGTTTTATCTCCCTCTCAAAAACCTTGCAGTGCAGTGTGCGGGTGTGTGAGCCTCTGCGTGTATCCTTGCATTCAAAATACAGCAGGCAAAAGTAATGGAGAGTCTCCCCCTAGTGGCAACACTGAAAGATAACCATGTCCTGTAGTTATGAGGCTAGCAACAAGAAATGAGAACCCCCGATTCATGAATAAAGTCTTTAACTTATTCCTAAAATGTATGCACATTCCTTGAAACTTGATATAAATTGTTACTGTTTATTGAACTAATTCAAATTCTTTTTGTTGTATTGACAAACAATATGAATTTGAATGTGACTGTGAAAGAGCCGAATGAATGTGGTACCAGGTGCTGAGTCTTCACAGTGCATCGGCTTCACAGTGCATCGGCTTCACAGTGCATCGGCTTCACAGTGTATCGTCAAAGGCGCTGAGGCGTTCCTCATGTGTTTGCTCCCACAGGCAGCCTCACCGCCCTGGTGTGTCACCACTCGGTCAGCTCACTGGCCCTGCCCTGCATGCTCATCATACCTGACCGAGGTGAGCACTCTGTCACCTTGCTCCTATTGACCTGGCTGCCCAATCCTGCCCTGCTGCTTTCACTTTCATCCATCTCCCCAGTTAAGCTGATTTTTAACTATGACCCTAACTTTGAACATTTGTCCAAAATAATTTCATCCATTCCAATCCATTCTATCACAATCCAATGCATTACAGTCCAGTTCTGTCCATTCCAATCCAGTCCATTCCATTCAGTTCCAATACATTACAATCCAATCCATTCTATTCTAATCATTCCATTCTTTTCCAGTCCAGTCCATTCCCTTCCACTCCCATTGAGTCCATTCCATTCCAGTTCATTCAATCCAATCCATTCTATTCTAATCATTCCATTCTTTTCCAGTCCAGTCCATTCCCTTCCACTCCCATTGAGTCCATTTTGATCGATTCCCATCCAGTTGATTCCATTACATTCCAATTCACTCATTTCCAATTCATTCCATGCCAGTTCTTTCCAGTTCATTCAATCCAATTCATTCTACTCCATCCCACTCTAATTCAGTGTGATTTGCTGACCGTTAACTAATCTGATAGCAAAAGAATCATCGTTATATTTAGGACAAATTGCACTTTTTCACTTTTCAGTTCAATCACTTTCTGTTTACTTTGAGCCCTTGCTTGTGGTTTGTAAAGCCTGAGAAAACAGAATGGGCCGGTGAGTGAGATGTCGATGTGTCAGAGCCAGCCTGAGTCCTGGTCTCCTGCCTTCTACAGATCCTCTGGAGGACATCGTAGGGCCTTCAGCACAGACAGCTGCCAACTCAGCGGCAGAGCTGCTCAAACAGGGAGCAGGTACCAGCAATGTATCTGCAGATACATTACATTTTCAAAAGTGTCTGTACATCATTTCAACACACCAAGATATCATCATCAATTTCAAAAATTATTCTAAGCAAGACATCCACAATATTTTGAGGTTGATTACAAATACACTAGTGGCCAAAATTATGCAAACGCTTCAAATTTTTACAGATTGCAGAACTTTATTCAGCCATTGCTCCATTTACTTTTTAATCTCTAATGTATGATTTTACAAATCATACACGATTTTGGCCACTAGTGTATTTAATTGGCACAAATTGGAATATCTGTCTAACAACTGCTTCTACTGCTTATATTAGGGTTGGAGTGTCTCTTAAGACATTAAGAATTAATGAAACACCACTACCCAAAAAACGACTGACATGTAACGCTTCCTAAGCTGTGTGTTCTCTCTTCCAGCCTGTAATGTGTGGTTCCTGGGCTCTGTGGAGATGGAGTCCCTAACAGGCTACCAGGCTGTGCAGAAGGCCACCAGCCTGACCCTGGCCATGGACCCTCCACCCATCTCCACGGTGGTGCACTTCAAGGTGTCCGCCCAGGGCATCACCCTCACGGACAATCAGAGGAAGTGAGTGCCACCTCCACTACGCCCCAGGGTCATGTGACATTTTCATGGGGGGGAGGGGCACATCATGCTGCAGTAGGGGGTGGACATGGGTTCAGGTAGCCTTGCCAAGCACCAAGACGATGCCACCACACACATTCCAGTCATGCAGTTCAAAACCCAAACCATGTGACAGGAGCACAGATGAACGTTATAGCAATCCAGGCTAAATCCCTCTGTTTTTCTGTTTCTAGACTATTCTTCAGGAGACATCATGCTGTCAACACTGTCATATTCTGTGCCTTGGACCCTCAAGACCGGAAGTACGTTAACTCCAGTTTCTATAATGAATTAAACATACTTTTAAGGGAATTATTTCACAACCGGAAATAGCCTGTAAATATTGTCTCTTTCCATTCGTCCCGTGTAGGTGGACCAGAGATGGCTCTTCCTTAGCGAAGTAAGTCAATCTCTGTGTTTCTGTCTGAGACCTGGCTTATCTGGATCAAAGTGAAAATGACCAGCTGTAGTGCTCCAACGCATTAAAAACCCAAGTCAGGTTCCAGCTTCTTTTTAAATTCCATACTAAACTGAAAACATAAGCTCAACCAGGCCTGATTCCACAGTGTGACCAGAGAATGTTTGGTCTGCCCAATTATGAGCCTGGCTCATCCAATCATGAGCCTGACCCACCCAATCACGAGCTTGGCCTGCCCAATCATGAGCCTGACCCACCCAATCACGAGCTTGGCCTGCCCAATCATGAGCCTGACCCACCCAATCACGAGCTTGGCCTGCCCAATCATGAACCTGGCCCACCCAATCACAGATTATTTTTTATTATTATTTTAATTAGGAAGGACACAAGCTATTTTTTTAAAAGGGAAAACATATTGGACTCATCTCTCCACAGGATCTTTGGCTTCGTGGCGAGGAAGGGGGGCAGCGCCACAGAGAACGTGTGCCACCTGTTTGCCGAACACGACCCTGAGCAGCCGGCCAGTGCCATCGTCAACTTTGTCTCCAAGGTGATGATCGGGTCAGCAAAGACCAAGTAGGACCACTGCAGATCCCCTGGACCGCGCTCAACCTTGCATACGATATGACATATAGTTCGGATTCCAGGTCATTCTCCTGAAACTGCACACATGGTCGTTCATACTATCTGTCTGGGGGTGACTGCTTTGACTTTGTTGGCAAAAGTCTAATGCGGCTCATTCCCTGAGTACCTTTGCTGTTACCTGGCGTCTCCAAAATGTTTGTTTGAAAGGTACTCGACAGAACACCTTTATCCAGTGCTTGTTATTTTTAATCGTTATTTTGTACTGTTAATACTGTATATACCCATATCCCAGATTAATGCCAGTGATGCAACATTAACACAGCTTCAGATCAAATACTAACAGCTATTTCACGGATGTAAATGAACGTAACTTATATTGGTGCTGTTTTGTAAACGGGGCGACACTGCTCTCTGTAAATATGTTTGGTGATCTTGCTGCTGAAGCCCCTCATCACCATTATTTTATTTAGCTACCTGTCCCTTAAAAATACCATTATATAAACACTAGAGTATTTTTGTATTTAAACTCTAATATATTCTATCAACGCATTGCTATGTTTATATATAGTACATTTTTATTGAGATAAAAACCTCATCGTTCTATATACGCAACAGTGTTTAATTGATATATGTAGCTTATTTACGCGTTTTTTTTCCAGTTATGTTATTTATCATTGTTTACTTTTGATAATTATTTTAAAAGACGTTTTGAAGACATCATGCATACTTTCAGTGTATTGAGTGTCTTAAGGTTAAATAGTTTGATGTCTATAATATTCTGAGTATTTTAGGACTTTTTTTTACAAGAAGGACCGACCTGCCTGTGCTCTATTTGTATAGTTTGCAAATAATTGTATAATTTCTAATATTTCACACAATAATGTACATATAATAGTCAACTAAACAATAAGGAAGCATTTTGTTGCAAACTGTTGGTGTTACTAGTTGGGAGTTTGACAGACTCAACCACAGCCAGAATCAGTGACTTTTAATGACTTAATACCCAATACAGTATTTCACTGCACCCTCGTATTTCTATACTGTATATATGCAAATGGAAATGGAATGTTTATATATGTTTAAAAAATAAAAATCTGAACATTCCTTAAATACTGTATGTTGATTGTTCATTTTGAGTTTCTTTACTCTATCCTGTATGATTTACTAACTAGCAAAAATTGTATTTTTTTTTCTATGTCAGCATGTAAAACCATTTAAAATAATGTCTTGTAATTTATATACCTCTAAAAGTACAACAGCATCCAACAGTGGACTGGAAAACTATAAATAGCAATAATTATATAGATTTTTTTTCTACTGCACTGCTTGGTATAAATCATTCAAACCATTGACTGAAGCTGGTTATTATTTGCCTTTATACCTTTATATGTATAGAGCTTTTCAAGCCAGGGAGCACAAAGTGCTTCACATTATGACAGGCAGGACCAACAGAGGAATAAAGTAACAGAAACAAATAAAGGAAACGACATTCCAGGTAAACAGTCAAAAATGATGAAAAGATACAAATTATAATGTATGCAAGAACAAATTAAATAAGTGACATAATGTCTAATGAAATAAAATCTATAAAACATTAAATGCAAATTAAGAGATAAATACATTTACAAAGGATAAGGAATAAAAGTATGTGTTTAAACAAGGCTTAAAGATGGCTAGCGAGTCAGCCTATGTAATGCTTAGAGGTTAAACCGTTCCAAAGTCTGTGAGCCATTGCAAAAAAACTGCTGTATCATCTTTGGCTGAACTTTGGAACGGCAAGTAAACGTGATCTGATGATCTTAAAGGTCTGGCTGTTTGATAGGATACCAGCAATTCAGAATAATACTCTGGAGTTAGATCATGCAAGGCCTTAAAAGTAATTAAAACTTTTTGATAAATTCTAAATTGAATTGGAAGCCAGGAAAGTGATGCCAAAATGAGGGTAATATGTTCATGGGCCTTTGATCTCCTAAGTAATCTAGTTGCAGTCTTCCATACCAACTGCAGATGAACAATAGCAGAGCCGTTCATTGTAGCAAATATGTCATTACAATAGTCCAGGCAAGATGTCATAAAAGCACGATGATCTGTTCAGTATCTTCAAAAGATAAGCTATAACCTACACATTATTCCTCAGCTGATAAATGCCAGAATGTACCAGTTTATTTATATGAGGTTCAAAGTTCAAATTGGAATTGAAAAGTACCCCTAAGTTCCCAGACACCAGTTTAATACTATGTGCCAATGAACCCAAAGCCTGCTTAACATGACCCGTATTCTATTATGAGCCAATTAATAAAATCTCTCTTTTATCAGTGTTAAGCTGAATAAAGTTATAGGACATCCAATTTCTCACATCATTAACACAAGCTGAGAGAATCCATAAATTAGATGCACCATTTGCATCCAAAGACAGGTAGAGCTGTAAATGTAGAGCTGTAAATCATCAGCATAAACTGTGAAAGTTAATGTTGTATTGCTGGATGACGAGTCCAAGAGGGAGTATATATAGAGAAAATAAAATTGGACCTAAACTTAAGCCTTGGGGTACCCCACATATAAGTATGGAGGGAGAGGAAATTTCTTTGCCGACAGCAAATGCAAAAGTTCTATTTGATAGATATGAGAAAAACCAGGCCAAAGCAGTTCCTCATATTCCCACCCACTGTTTTAATCTACTGATCATGATAGCATGATCATGCCAATTTTGTCCGCAAAATTCATCTGATGTAGTTACGGGTCGAAGGGGGTTTTTTTTATGCAAAACATCTGTCATTTGTTAGTGTTGGCGCCCGTCCATCCCTACCCTTCATGTCCCTACCCTGTTTGGCCAGCAGGTGTCGCTGGCCATCACACCTTTTTACTCCCTGTCTAACCCTTGTGTATTCCACTGCTCCTTGGACTATTTTAGGGCTCAGGGGATTGAGTGTGTGGCATAGTGGCTGTAACCATACAATCAAGGGTGCAAAGCCAGCCTTACTTGCTTTGTTGAATTATTGACTTTTGCTGCTTCTAGTATTTGCTTCCCTACTTTGGTTTGCCCTGCTTGTGTCCTTTTTAATTTTTTTCCTAGTTTAGTCAGCCCTCTATAATGCTCCCTAGTCTGTTTCCCTGACTTGGTGATTGTTATAGTTCCTTAGTCCTTGTGCGCATTTAGTGTTTCTCATTGTTCCTGTGTCTCTCTTGATTGCTTAATTGATTATTAATTGCACCTGTTCCTTCTTTGCCCTGGTGTTCCTGTGTATTTAAGTGCCTGCCTGTGTTCAGCTCCTTAGTCAGTCATTGTGTGCTGTGTAGCTGCATGTAGTTGATCTGTTTAGATTCTGGGTCTGCTCCCTGTGTTACCCTGTTCCCAGTCTTTACTTGTTCCTTAATTGTGCTTAGTTTCTTGGTTTTTTTAGTTAATTCTTTATTTTTCCCGGTTTGATTTCTGCCCCCTTGTGGTCTGCTTGTTTTGTTGTATTTTCCTCGGTGTGTTTTTAGTTGTATTAAAAAAAAACCTGTTATCTCGTGAGTCGCCGGTGGATCGTCACACTAATTTCCCCGCCTGAATCATGTCTCGTGTTAATAATAGTCATTTATCTTTTGCGATTAAATATTTGACATTTTATATATCTGTGTGTCACAAAGGTACTTTATTATAGATTTCCTGTTAGAATAAAACAAGAAGGTATGCATCAATATGAAGGAAAGCGATAGTGGCGTATTCTTTATTTTGGTCTACATTGACTGGGGTTATTGATTTTAAACTTGAAGGATGCAGGAGCCGATTTCAGCCGTAACATTTAATCCTCTCTGTAATACTGTGACAAGGCTCCAAGTGGGAAACAAAACAATGAATGGAGAAATGGAAAAATCCTATGCAGTCGCCCCTCCAGATTGACGAAATTGGCATTTGTGGTTCCCGTTTTTCGTACGTTGGCGCCATAGATCACAGAATCTCAGCAATTACGCTTAAGCCGCAATACAGGCCTAGACATTACTGGAAATGATTTGGATAATATAAAATTATTAATATGAATATTATTGTTATTTAATATTTGTTACTATAAGTGCATACTCAAGCTTTAATATTAAAAGGTTGTTTTTGGTAAAAAAAAAAAAAAAACTCATAGATATACGCATCTTGGCTTTGGTACGCTACACATCTACACATCACAGCAACCAACCTCACTTTTAAACTATTACGTGCTGCTACTTTTGCGTTTCTAATAATAGATCCAAGCAGGTCTACTATTCACACATTTTCACATTCACGTGATCTTCCTCCTCTAATCTTGTAAAATGTGAAGGGGTGACGTTACGAGATTTTAATATATCAATGAATGCATGATTTGCTAATGCCAACGATATTTTAAATATAGGCCTACATATTTTATACTGCGCATATTCGTATGTATTCAGAAACAATACATTGTTTTCACCAACAAATGTAACAGTCGTCCTCTACTTTTTGACCAGCAGGTGGCACTAAATAACAACGAAATTAGAGAGAAATGCAGGCGAACTTCAAAGCAGTAGTTTTCAATTTTTTGCACATTTTGTAATGCTTTAATTTATGACCCTTTTAGTCAACATGAGACCAAACTACTCCGTGCGTCTGCTTTACAGAAACATCAGATTTTAATGTAATGATATTTTGAAATAATTTTACATTCATTTGGTTCTTAGGCTTATAATCATCTGAAAGTAGGATAGCGATATCTGACATTCTTTTTAATCCCCGTCTAAGTAACTTTTATCCTTGTACCTTTAAGAACAGATATAATTTGAAGTTACCTCAGTTCAGATTAAAAAAATGTAAACTAAGGTGCCCCAGATAAGATTCTCTGCTAAGAAAATACAGATTTGTTTTCCTTGGCAACTTTTCTTCGAGAAACATGCATACACACATTAAGCTTGGGTTTCCAGAAGGCAGTGAAAGATCTGCAGGTCGCCCTAATCGACTGCAAGTCGGCGCATGCCTGTTTTTCAATTGAGGCTGCTAGGAGAGCTTCAAATTGCAGGGGACGTTCACCCAGATGAAGACAGAAGATTGAGACGTCCATCCCTGGACAGTTTTCAGGGGTGGGGGGGGGCGTTCCTAAGGAAGACCTAGAGGGGGAGTCAGGGGAGGTGAGGCACAGATCTGAGGGTATGGATTGTGGTGGATCTCCTCCTTATATTGAAATGGAAAGGTCCGGAAAAACTATTTAGGGAAACTCCAAGATCTGGGGACATCTGGTGTGTTTTCAAAAAGAAATCTTTCACACAGGCAGATTTCAGTTAATGGCATGTGATTAGAGGGGACAGAGATGTAAGAACAAAGGTTTCAGTCTTGGGGAGGCATGGTACAGTAAGATAGTACATGAGACCGAGATACAGCTCATCTGTAATAAGCTTTTTATGGAGCACATGAGTGTCTGTGTGAGAGATATACTTTGGAGGAAAGTATAGGGATGGATAAGGTTCACGTCATTCCCAAGGATGATGTCTGAACAGATTCTTATTTCAGATATTTCTCTGAGTAACACTTCCTTATTTACATTATCTCAGTGCTTTTCCCATAAATCATAATGTTCTTGGTAAATGTTTCTATTATGACATCATAATGCAACAAGGGTTTATATAGACACATGTTACAAAACAGTCATGTTTAATGTTTTTTCATAGGGAGTGGTATCCACAGCAGTACATCAAACAAATGTATCAGGAAATTGCAAGCCGGACAGAATGTAAACCCTTTAAATGCAGACTGTGCTGCACTATAAAGGCAAAACTGAGTTTTGATTGAAATCGGGCCCCTTAGGTTTGATTTTGTTACCTTAATTCAACTATCCTCGGTTTTTATGAAAGCAGAGTGTGAATATTGTGGTAACTACAAAATCCACACTAAAACTAAGGCAAAACACCCTTTTTCTCATTTTCGGTGTCACCGTAGAGTTTTGCCTTCATAGGACAGCGTGGGAAGGAGGGACATTATCGACTCCATTAGCAAAATTCGGTTTTATCTAATCAGAAAATCCCTGCTGTTTGTCGTAACCAAAGGGTTCTGCTAAGCACAAATCTGCATGGATAGGAAAGATATAAACACAGATCTTTCCACATCCAAGGTGTTTTGTAAGGGTTCA